CCAGTGTTTCCCAGTGACCTCCCACTGCCACTCAGTATGGCCCAATGATCCCCCAGTGAGCACCCAGTAACCCCCAGTATGGCCCCGTAACCTCCCAGTGTCTCCCTGTGTGTCCTGCTAATCACCCAGTAATCACCCAGTCTCTCCCAGCACCCTCCCAGCATCCCTCAATAACGCCCCAGTCCCTCCCAGTGCCCCCTGGTTCCCCCCAGTGTGTCCCAGTATCCCCCAGTAATCACCCAGTGCCCCCCAAAGCCCCCCAAGTGTCCCCAGTGTCTCTCCACATGTCGTTGAATTTTCTGTGAGTGTGAAGGGGGAATGGGGGGTGGTCTGGGGTCAGAGGGTCCAGAGGGGGCTCCTGGGGGGTGATAGAGGGTTGGAGACATGTGGGATGGGGTTTGGGGACAGTGGAATTGGGGGCGTCAAGGGGGAAACTGAGGCCATGGGGAGGCCCTGAGGACATTGGGGACACCAGGGGGGTCTCAGGACTCACCTGCTTGTGGTGCTGCCCCTCCTCTCCCACCCAGGTGGCCCTGAGCAATGGCCCGGAGGTGAGCCCAGAGCTGGCCCTGAGGTGGCCCTGAGAAGAAGTGGAAGGCAGAGGTGGTGCTGAGGCAGGAGAGCCCCGTGCTGGGGAAGAGGCTGAGCTGGGAGTGCCCAGCAGCGAGAAGGTGCTGTGTGCATGCCCTGTGTGCCAGGTGAGCTGGGGCTTTGCTGCAGAGCTGCGGGTGCTGATTGGAGCGGCTGCAGCTGCTGAGCTGGTGGCACCAGGAACACAAAGTGTGCCCGGCCACGGAGCCTGCAGGGAGGAGCAGGGACAGCCCCAGGGGAGCTCTGGGGGGCCGGGAACCTCTTGGCTGGGGCAGGAAAGAGCCGCTGGCCACAAGGACGGGGTGTTGGTCCCAGCCACTGATGGGGCTAAGCAGAGCACGAGGCCTCTTGCAGACACCTGGAGCAGCCTCCCACTTGCCAGCCCAGCCCTCGTGGGGTGACACTGTCTCCTCCCTGCAGGACACTCCCCCTGAAATCCTTGGGTAGGGCCTTTTATGTCTTTTGCTGGTTACTACTTCATCCTGGGGACCTGAGGGCCCCTCTGCAATCCCATCCCTGGGGCACAATCTGCTCTCCAGATGAATCTGAGAAATCTGGTAAAGAAAGTGCCCAGAAGCTTTTGGTCTTATGAGCAGCAAAGGTGTTTATTTGTGGACGTCGGGAGCAGTCAGGGTTGGCACCACAAAGCTCTTGCTCGAAGGTGTCGGTACAAAACAGGGTAATTTATACAGTGTAACTTCTATGATTACAACATCTTACATCCATATTCATATGATTTCAACATCTAATCATTCAAGTTGATAATAGCTGAAATACAGGCAGAGCTCAGGCGGAGCTTGGGGTGGAGCTTTTCTTGGCCCTCAGTTCTGGGGGTTCATCCCCCTTTCTTCATCATTGGGGCTGGGGTCTCTGCAGTCTTCCTCAGTGTGACCCCTCTAACTTTCCATTATCTTTTCCCCAGTCACTGAAGCTTGGAGAGAGCCTTGGCTTTAGGCCTGTTTCTCCTATTCAAATGTCTACCTTGGCTGACTTTGCTTTAATTTGTGGCCTGCAGACCTATTGTAGAATGTTTCCAGCATTCTTCTTAAGATCAGGTCCAAGGAACAGAACAGAACAAATTTTTCATTAGCAATTTAGGCAGAGCAGGTATGGGGGGGCTTCTCTCAGCTAAGCAAGATATTTCAGGTAATTTTTCAGACCTTGCTCTCATTTCAAGAGGGAATGTCTGGGAAGGCAGCACCCCAAAGGGGAGAGTCAGAGGAGAAAGGACCCTTGGGACCCCCAACACTCCCAGCATCCCTAAGTGGGACTCCCAACATCCCAGACAGGGGAAACCCTCTGAACCCCAGAGGGGGGAGACAAGAGAGGGGGAACTCCTGGAAGAGATTTTTTTTGACTTATCTTCATAATTTATATTTCAGCTGAATCTCAACTTTTTGCAATTTTGGGGACGGAGGTCTTCTTGCTATTTCTGAGGGGTTTTGCCTGAATCTTGGTGGTTTGGGTTTTTGTGGGCTGAATCTTGGTGTTTTGGTGGTCCCCCAGAACCCTGAAGTTGGGAGATGGGGGAGTCTTGGATTCCTGGGAGCTCCAGCAGCCTGGAGAGGGAGGGCAGGGACCCCGTAGAGGGGAGACCCCAAATACACACGGGATTTCCAGCCCAGAGAGGGAGGACCTCCAGAATCCCAAAGTGGAGGGACCAGAGAGGAGGAGCTCCTAACTGGGGTTTTTTGGGCTGAATCTTGGCGTTTTGGAGGTTTTTATGGTCAGGGGATTCCCAGTGAGTTCCAGAGATGGACTTGGGCAGGAGGAACCCCCAAACCATCGTGCTCAGCCCTTGTTTCCCCCCAGCAGGATTTGTCCTTCCCAAAGCTTGGGTGGATGGAGGAGGAGGCTGCGAGGAAGAGGAAGATGCCGCGGGCCCCCCAGGCAGGTGAGGAGGAAGTCAGTGCCCCTTTGGCCCTGTTGGTGCCCGTGGGGACCGGGGGATGTCCTTGGCCTTCCCTCTGGACCAGAGGCAAATCCCCTGCCTGTCCTTCCTTCCTGCCCCAGGCCCCGAGCTGAGGACGGAGAGCACGGAGGACAAATCCCCCCGGCAGAGCCTGGTGGGAGAGGCCGTTTTGAAGGGCTCCCCGGTGCAGGAAGGCAGCGGGGAGGAAAAGGCATGGAGATGCCCCCGGAGGAGGGGCTGCAAAGCCAGCCCAGGGAGCTCTGAGGAGGAAAGACCCGTCCTGTGCCAGGAAGGCGGCCGGAGCTTGAGCCGGAGCTCGGAGCTGGTGGTCCCTGAGCAGCCTCCCAGCAGGGAGAAGCCCTTTAAGTGCTTGGAATGTGGGAAGAGCTTCAGGGAGAGCTCCAACCTCCTCACCCACATGCACATCCACACTGGGGCACGGCCCTACACGTGTAGGGAATGTGGAAAGAGCTTCACTCAGAACTCCACCCTGATCCAACACAAGCACATCCACACTGGGGAACGGCCCTACACGTGTGGGGAATGTGGGAAGAGCTTCAGGGATAGCTCTGCCCTGATCAAACACCAGCGCATCCACACTGGAGAACGACCCTACAAGTGCTTGGAATGTGGGAAGAGCTTCAGGGACAGCTCCCACCTGATCCGACACCAGCTCATCCACACCGGTGAACGACCCTACAAGTGCTTGGAATGTGGGAAGAGGTTTCAGCCCAGCTCAACTCTCCTCAGGCATGAGCGGACACACACAGATGAGAGGCCCTTCCGCTGCACCGACTGTGGGAAGGGCTTCAACCGGAACTCCACCCTCATCACCCACCGGCGCATCCACACCGGGGAGAGGCCCTACAAGTGTGGGGAGTGTGGGAAGAGCTTCAGCGACAGCTCTGTCTTTAGCAGACACCAACGGACCCACCGGTAAGGGAAGCCCCTCTGAGTGCCCCGACTGCGGGAAGAGCTTTGGCCGCTGCTCCGGCTCCATCACCCATCGGAGAACCCGCCTTGGGAACAGCCTTTTGGGGACCCACATTCCCGGTGACCCTCCTTGGGAACAGCCTTTTTGGGGACCCACATTCCCTGGTGACCCACCTTGGGAACAGCCTTTTGGGGACCCACATTCCCGGTGACCCTCCTTGGGAACAGCCTTTTGGGGACCCACATTCCCTGGTGACCCTCCTTGGAACAGCCTTTTTGGGGACCCACATTCCCTGGTGACCGTCCTTGGGATCAGCCTTTTTGGGGACCCACATTCCCGGTGACCCACCTTGGGAACAGCCTTTTGGGGACCCACATTCCCGGTGACCCTCCTTGGAACAGCCTTTTTGGGGACCCACATTCCCTGGTGACCCTCCTTGGGATCAGCCTTTTTGGGGACCCACATTCCCGGTGACCCTCCTTGGGATCAGCCTTTTGGGGACCGACATTCTTGGTGACCCTCCTTGGGATCAGCCTTTTGGGGACCCACATTCCCTGGTGACCCTCCTTGGGAACAGCCTTTTGGGGACCCACATTCCCGGTGACCCCTGTTTGGGGTTTATTGCCGTGCCGCGAATGGTTCTGTTTGAGATGGTTTTGTTTTTTTCTTCCTTCCGATCGTTCGTAAATCGCTCATTTTAGATAAATGTTCTGGTTTTGGCCGTGATTCATTAATTAATTGCCTGATGGCAGAGGATGGGATTGGGATGGATGCAGGTGGAGGTGGGTGGGATGGGTATTGGGTGGATGGGATGAGGATGGATGCAGGTGGAGGTGGGTGGGATGGGAATTGAGTGGATGGGGGCCGATGGGATTGGGATGGAGGTGGATGGGACGGGGATGGAGGTGGATGGAGGTGGGTGGGATGGGGACTGAACAGATAGAGGTGGATGGGATGGGGATGAAGGTGGGTGGGATGGGGATTGGGCGGATGGGATGAGGATGGATGCAGGTGGAGGTGGATGGGATGGGGATTGGGTGGATGGGATGGGTGTGGAGGAGGATGGAGGTGGATGGGATGGGGACTGGGCAGACGGGACGGAGATTGGGCAGATGGAGGTGGATGGGATGGGGATTGGGTGGATGGGATGGGGATGGATGCAGGTGGAGGCGGATGGGATGGGTATTGGGTGGATGGGATGAGGATGGATGCAGGTGGAGGTGGATGGGATGGGGATGGAGGCGGATGGGATGGGGATGGAGGTGGATGGGATGGGGATTGAGGCGGATGGGATGGGGATGGAGGTGGATGGGATGGGGATGGATGCAGGTGGAGGTGGATGGGATGGGGATGGAGGTAGGCGAGGAAGATGGAGGCGAGTGGATGGGAGCACACGTGGGTGGAGGTGGGAGGGACAGAGATGGAGGCAGATGGGACGCGAATGGAGTTGGATGAGATGGGGATGGATGCGGGTGGAGGTGGAAGAAGGCGGGTGAGGGCGGGTGGATGGGGATGGAGGCAGATGGATGGGATTCAGGTCGGATCGGGATCAGGGCGGCCGAAGGAAGATGGAGGTGAACACGAGGGATGGGGATTGGGCGGATCAGAGGGGGTGGGGGGCGGATGGGGGAGGATGGGAGGGGCGTTGGGCGGATGGGGGAGGGTGGGATGAGGATTGGGCGGATGGGGAGGATGGGACGGGGATGGGGAGGAGTGGGACGGGGATTGGGCGGATCGGAGGGGGTGGGAGTGGATGGGGAAGGGTGAGATGGGGATTGGGTGAATCGGAGGGGGTGGGAGCGGATGGGGGAGGATGGGACTGGGATTGGACAGATAAGGGCTGAGGGGGGATGGACAAACACGGAGCCATTCAGGGTTGGATCCCGTGCCGGCAGCTCCTCCCGTCCTTTCCAGCGGAGCTGAGGGAAGGGCTGACTGCGTGGTCGGGACTGGAGGGGGGATTTACAGATTTGGGGGTCCCTGGGGGGTGTGGAGGTTTGGGGGTCCCATCCCATCTCATCAATCCCATCACATCCCATCCCACCCATCCCATCCCATCCCATCCTGTCCCATCGCATCCCATCCCATCCCATCCCATCCCAACCCACCCCATCAATCCCATCCCATCAAGTCCCATCCCATCCCATTCCATCAATCCCATCCCATCAATCCCATCCCATCAATCCCATCCCATCCCATCAATCCCATCCCATCCCATCAATCCCATCCCATCCCATCCCATTCCATCCCATCCCATCCCAACCTATCCAACCCCAACTCAACCCATCCCAACCCAACCCATCCCATCCCAACCCATCCCAACACATCCCATCCCATCAATCCCATCCCATTAATCCCATCCCAACCCAACTCATCCTATCCCATCAATCCCATCCCATCCCACCCCATCAATACCATCTCATCCCATCAATCCCATCCCATCCATCCCAACCCAACCCATCAATCCCATCCCATCAATCCCATCCCATCCCACCCCATCAATCCCATCCCATCCCATCAATCCCATCCCATCCCACCCCATCAATCCCATCCCATCCCATCCCATTCCATCCCATCCTATCCCAACCCATCCAACCCCAACTCAACCCATCCCATCCCATCAATCCCATCCCATCCCATCCCATCCCATCAATCCCATCCCATCCCATCCCATCAATCCCATCCCATCCCAACCCATCCAACCCCAACCCAACCCATCCAACCCCAACCCATCCCATCCCATCCCATCCCATCCCTACCCAACCCAACTCAACTCAACCCAACCCAACTCAACCCAGTCACTGCCTGGATGATGCCATTTGCCCCTGCATGGTCCCAGTCACCCCCAGTATGATCCCACTAACTTCCAGACACTTCCAGTACAAATCCCATTCGATCCCAGTCATCCCCAGTATGGTTGCAGTCCTTCCCACACACTGCCAGTGTTACTGCAGTCACTGCCAGGATGATCCCTGTGAGTCCCAGTGTGATCCCAGTATGAGCCCAGCAGGGACCCAGCTGCTCCCACTATGATCCCAGTTGCCCCCAGTGTGGTGGCTCCAGGATGGATCAGGAATGGGGACCCCCGTGTGTCCCCCCGTGTCACCCCGTTCTGGGGGGGGCTTTGGTGGAGCACCTGAACCCCAACACGGCACCCAGCCCTCCCCAAAAGGTGCTGGGACCCCCATAAACCGCCCCCGAGCCCCGCGAGGACCCCCCAAGCCGCGAGGACCCCACTCAGACCCCCAAACCCCTCATGTGGGGAGACCTTTCTGGGCACTGGTGGTGCCGGAGCCCCCCCGGCTGCGGGGGCAGCTCCTCCGTGTGCGGGCAGAGCCGCAGCCCCAGCGCTCCCCACCTCGAGCCCACCGGTGCCCCCCCCTCGCCCCCAGCGCCCCCCGGGACGGCAATTTGGGCAGGGGGGAGGGGAAGGGGGGGCCCAAAGGGGTCGCTGGGGCTGGGCCGGGGGGGAAGGGCTGCAGGGGGCGGATCCCGGAGGCGGAAACACGGAAAAAGAGGCGGGACAGCCAAGGCAGGAGCCGGACGGGAGGGCAAAGGAGAGGATAAAGGAGCACGTGGGGGTCGCTCGGTAATGGCGGGAGGGGGGCGAGACCGGTTTTGGGGTCCCCAGTGAGAGCCAGGGGGGGACCCCGGTAGCCGCGGAGTGGGGAGAGCGGAGGGGACGATCCCGGAGCTGGGGGACCCCCGGAATCCGGGAGTGGGGGGGAGCACACAGGGAAACCCGGGCCCCTTAAACGGGGGTCGCGAAGAGGGGGAACCCCTTGGAGTCTGGAGAGGAGGGGGAGCAGCAGTGGGAAGGGGGGAGGAGCCGGTACCCTCAATAGGCCGGAGAGAGCGGGGACCCCTGGGACCGAGCAGCACCCCGAAGGAGAAAGTCAAGGGAGAAGGAGTACTGAGATCCCCAAAATCCCCGGCATCCCTAAAGATGACCCTATAGAGGGAAACCCCCAGGACCCACCGGACCCCCAGCAGCCCGGAGAACGGGGAGCCCAGAGCACCCAAGGGGGGAGCCCATAGAGGGGACCCCTGGATTCCCGGGACTCCCTTCTACCGGGAGAGGACGAGCACCAAGGTAGGGGGAGCCCCCAATAAATGCAGGACCCTCAGCAGCCCAGAGAGGGGGAACTCCTGGGAGTTTTGGGCTGAATTTTGGTGGTTTGGAGGTTTTTATGGGCTCGGGAGAGCCAGAGGTGGGGGGTAGGAACAGCGGAGTGGGGAGACCAGAGCGATACTGGAGCTGGGGGACCCCCGGCAGGCTGGAGGGGGAGCACGGAGAAGGGGGAGGCTCAGGATCCCCAGGACCCTCAAACGGGGTGGGGGGCAGAGAAGGGGGAGCCTGGACAGAGGACACACTTGGGATCCCTGGGACAACAAAGTGGAGTACCCAGAGTGGGTGATTGCCTGGGAACCCGGCACCCTGAGGCAGAGAGCCAGGGGAGAAGGGACCCCTAGGACCCCCAAAACCCCCCAGCATCCCTAGGCAGGACCCCCAGCAACCCAGAGAGGGGAGATGCCCAGACTCCTAGAGTGAAGAGAGCAGAGAAGGAGAACTTCTGAGAAGATTTTTCTGAGCTGAATCTTCATATTCTGAAGTATTTTCTGGCTGAATCGTGATCTTTTGTAGATTT